TTTTATTCATTTTAAAGTTGCTTACAATGTCAGTATGGGGATTCGTCATCGCTGTAAGGATGCGACTCTCACACTGGCTTGGAAATTTTCTTGACAGGCCCTTTCCTTTCCATACCCTTGGTTAAGCTTTCCCAAAGCCACTCCCTTCTTTGACTCCACTTCCCCGGCCTGGAGTGCCCTCCCCGGTCTCTGGATTGCCTTCCTATTTACTCTCCAGAATCCCCCCTTCTCTTTTCTGGTGGCTTCCCACACTGATTATTCCCCAGGGCTCATTGTTGTGTTTAATCGTTCGCTTACTGCGTGGTATATCAGTGCCTATCAGTGAGGAGATGTGTGTGTTCATGTGTATGTTTATGTGCAACTTTTGCTAAAACTGGATATATTAACTTTATATAAGATTTTTTAAAGGAAGTGCAAAGGTCAAAAAACAGACTCTACTACCTTCCTTTTATTGTACAACACAATTTTGCACTTTGGTCCAAAATGATGTGCTTATACGTGTACTATAAAGCGATTCTCTGTGTCCTATCCGTATTTCATGTAGTGAGTATATATGATTGATTTTATTGATGCCAGGAATCTCCTAACATCCAATAGCCAATAATCTGTATTAGCTCATGATTAACTAGACTCCTCTAGCCCCTTTAGCATTTTTTAGGTGGGCTAACACATTCATTCATTTTGAGACAGACTCTCACCATGTAGTTCAGGCTGGGCTTGAACTCACAATGATCCCCCTTCCTCCACCTCCCCAGTGCTGAGATTACAGGCCAAAAAAAACCTTTGAGAGTTGAGGGCCAGGGATTTAGCTCAGTGGTTCTGCCATCTCACAAGCACAAGGTCCTGAGTTTGATCCCTGGTACCACAAAAAAAGAAAAAGGAAAAAAAACCTTTGAGAGGAGAAGTTACCCTGTTGTTAGTGTGCTTCATTCATCCATGTGTGCATGTTTTCAGACTGCGATGTTTTTCTCCCCTGTAGCTGTGTTCCAGATCATCTCCCTGGTCATTTACCCTGTGAAGTACACCCAGACCTTCAACCTTCATGCCAGCCCGGCGGTCCTTTACATCTATAACTGGGCCTATGGCTTCGGGTGGGCAGCCACGATTATCATGATCGGCTGTGCTTTCTTCTTCTGCTGCCTGCCTAACTACGAGGATGACCTGCTGGGCAATGCCAAGCCCAGGTACTTCTACACCTCTGCCTAAGGTGGAGGAGCGGGGCGCACGCTGAGATGGAGCCGAGCAGGGGTGCCTTCTCAGCCACTCGGCACCTGTTTTGGCAGCGTCCATGAGCTCCAGGCCACTGGACACCTCTTCTGGCAGTGTTCAGAGTTAAAATAGTTGGAAATGCTAAAATAGTTTTGGGGAAAATATTTTTTAAATTGTGTTACAGTTTCATACTCCTCTATGTTTTGTGAAATTAACAAAAACGTGTTTCTTTTTGCTGGTTACTTACAATATGCCAGTATTTCCTACGTCTATCTATAGCCTTTATACTGCATTTATAAAAGAAAATGAGCTTGAAGAGTAGAAATGTGAAGGCTTGCAGGAGGTAGTAATCTGCTCAAGTTTGGGGTTTCTTTTTTTCCCAGATAGAACGGACTATTTCTATTAAGAGCTAAAAAGAGGGAGATACTGGTAAAAATTGTCAGTAACTAAACATTCTAAAATAAAGGTAAAACAAAAACTCTGTTTTCAAGTTTTTAGCTATTTAAAGAGCAAAATAGTTTCCTATTTTTGAGAATCTATAATTAATATTCTAATAACTGCTGTTTTGGTAAACTTCATATTGACTTGATATTACATGAAGGCAAGTATTTTCCCATGGCCAAAGCAGACTGCGGTACTCAGGCGTCTTTATATAGAGAAAGGCTAAGAGGAAATTTGCTCTTTTAATAAAAATAGTTTACAGGGTTAGGGTGTGGGGAAACGCTATGTTCATAAATCTGTACTGCTTTGTGTCTGTATAGTCAGGACCCGTGTAGACTGAGTTGAAAGATGGGAATGATGAACCCATGTAGTAATGTGTTAGGACAGTTATTGCTGTCCCCAAAGTGCCATTAAAACGGGTCAAGGGGAAGAATTGGCTTGAAGTTTTTATCTCCAGTTTAACTGGGCTCTAAGCATATGGACACAGCTCTGATAGATTTTATTTGTCACAAAAACCTAAATATAGTTAAAAACCTGGTCTCCCTTGGTAAACAGACTTAAAATGGCTGATGTAAAACGTACAACAGGAGAATTCAGGGATATGAGTTTCTCTAAATATATATTGGATGAATTGTTATTTTTTTACCATTTATACTGATATAATGAAAACTCATTTTACACATCAAATTACAATAAGTTGTACCACGAGCAATTAAAGTTTTCATTATTTTTTTTTCTCAATAAACCAGGTGTCAAAATCTTGTGTCTAGTTTGTAAGTTTTGTTGTTTGTTCTGTTCTGGGGTTGGGAATTTTTAAATAATTCTTTGAGTCAGAATATTAGGCAAAATAAAAGTTGCTTTTCCTCAGTTTTAAGAGTCTTGCTCATTTTGAGTCAGTAGCCATTTTGGGGTGAATACGAATGAAGTCTAATTGTCTACGCTGAGCTTTTCCTCAGTGAACTGTGCCCCACGAACAGATGTCTGACAGGGTCTCTCTAGGGCTGCCAGCCGAGGAAAGAGGTCTCAGGCATTTCTGGAAGGCCCGACACCCAGGGCACATTTGCATGGCTTGGCTGAAGGTCTGTCCCTCTCTGATTTTCTCTTCCCACCCTCTCCCTGCTATGTGGCCCTCTTCCATTAGGAAACGGAAGTAGTATTCTCTCGACTTCCTTTCTCTGCCCATCTTCCCATTCAGTTGTTTCCCAACATTGGCCACGAGTGGATTCTGTACTGCGTGTAGCTGTGCAGAAGGGCTGCAGGGCCAGCTCCACTGGACTAGAGGTCCAGTCCCTCTACTGCTTCTTCTGCTCATTCGGTCCTTAGCAGTGCATTTTTCTTATGACTTTCAAAATATGAGATAAATGTTTCTCATGATAAATTTAAAGGAATGTAGCCTGGGTGATTACACCAAAAAAAAAACCCCAAAAAAACACCTTCTGTAACTAGAGAATTTGAAGTAATTAACCATGTCAAAACCACCATCAGAATAGCATCATCGCTTATTCAAGAAGATAATGGATTTCTAGAGATTAAGAAACGTAGTCTCTTGTCATACCCGAAAATCACTCTACAACATCTCCAAAGCATACACTTCTATTTTGGACGTTTTTTTCTGTTGTAACTTTCTCCTATTCAGTCAATAACACCCTGTATCAGAATGGTGTACACGTGGGAAAAATACAAGTTCCTGGGACCAGGGACATGAAATATTTGTGACAAGGATACATTGTCTCATTTATTGTGAGGAAATGTTCCATTTCTTCCAGCCATGTTCAATTGTAGAGACCCTTCACTCCTTACTGGTTCAGAGTCACCAAGATAGATACTTTTATGACATGCACAGAAAGAAAATTCTGGAAAGTAATGAAGAATTCAGCAGAGAAACCACCTATAGTCAGTGCATTGCATGAGAGTTCCCATGGTACAGCTGAGATGATTTTTGGTTCTCTAATTACATTGAGTCCCCACCCTTCAAATAAGCAGCTCTAAGTTTCCAATTACCTCACACTCACACTATTAGTAGTCAGGTATGCTAAAAGCCACTTATTGTTGAACGGAACAGAGAAGCAATATGTCAAGATCTTTTGCCTGTCACACAGGTATATACTGTGGAATATACTTATTTTTTGCTTTGAACCCATATACTGAGCTCGGCATGGTGGCACACCTGTAATCCTGCACTCAGGGTGGCTGAGGCAGGAGGATCACAAGTTCAAGCCATCTGGGCAATTTAGCAGACTTAGCAAAAACCTTTGTCTCAAAAAATAGGAAATAGGTTGTGGATGTAACAGTATGAAGGCCCTGGGTTCAACTGCCAGTACTGCAAGCAAAACAAAAACAAACCAACAAAAACATATACTGCAGGACTGGCCATGAAACTTGATAGGTTTCCTTTCGAAGGAAATGAAAGCAACAGGAAGATATAGCCATTAGGAGTGAATGAGGCTGGTTTTGCTATAGACCCCACTGAGACACTGTGCAACAGACCGAGCCAAAATGGCCTGTCCTCTGGGCTCACCCGGGAGGTGTGTGTGAGTCCCACCTGGCTTTGCCTCCTGCCAGCTGTTCCATATTGGACAAGTCATTCCCAGCTGGGCTCAGCACCTGCACCTGTAAGGTGATTGCAAAGATCCCTTTTCCTTCAGAATTCTGTGCTGCAGTGTATGGCTACTCATTTGTTAATTTCACAAATACTTTGGGGAAAGGGAAAAAGGGTAAATGGAAGCTTTTTTTCCCACTTGCTTTTCGTAACTGCAGACAGCAATTAAAATCATCTTAATATTGTTATGGAATTTTATCTTTAATAAAAATCAAAGAATATTCCTAAAAGTGGAAGAACCATGTAATAACTGTAAATTCTGTTAAGACCATAAATAATCCTAAAGCTATGGGGGGAAAGCCTGTCTGCATTTCAGAGAGCTCCTGATTCAAGATGGTGAGGTGGGCCCTATTAAATACCTCTCCTAACCAGATAGGAAAAAACCCCTACAGTAATAAACAAGGATCAGAAGGAATAAAGCTATAATAAGAGAAAGATCTACTAGCTGACTAGAGATTCTGCCAAATTCCTGGAAGGTGAAAATGAGTGACATTGACAGCCTAGGGAAGCTGCCACCCTGAACAGTTTGTTGGGAGGGGTCAGCTGTACTTCCTGGTAACTGCCAAAGTAGTGCCACGCTTGGTGCTGGCAGGAGAGGGTAGGAATGGGAAGAGGGAGGGTAGCACTTAGAAGTCTGCTCCATGAGGCACCTGACAATCGGCCTGCCCTGACTCCCACCCCAAATCCCAGAAATGATGACCAAGCTGACTAACTGGCCTGGTTGTCTCAGAGGGCTTCCCATGTACTAACCCGTGTAACCTTCACCTTAAGCTTCTCATGTGCGTTCAGTTATTCTTACCTTTTCAGGAAGGAAGTGGAAGCACAGGAACATGAAATAACTTTCCCAAAGCAGACAGCCTGTAATTAATAATGACAACAGTCACAATAGTCAGGTGCTGGGGTGGTAGAAAACCTCGCAGTAGGGCGAGGCACAGTGGGTATTCTCACCACACCGTGGGAGTGTTCCCAGGCCTCTCCTCCCCTCATGGCTCCCTCAGTGTCTTGTACGTGTTCATACTCCAAGGATGAGTCGACCTTTCCCATGTGTTTGGGGCATATTCTAGAGAAGAAGTATGGAGAAGGTGAAGGCCCAAAAGTGTAAAGGACCAGGCCTGAGTGAGGGGAGGTTCCCCAGGGGGCAAAGGAAGGCAATGGATTGGAAAAAAAAGAAAGAGGAGATTTAGAAATTCCACTTCCAAGACCTACTTACCTCCCTGCACAGTGTTTGAGAATCACAGTTCACATTGTTTCAGAATGAATCTTCATTACTGGACTGTCTACTCTCAAAGTCCTTCTCTGCGATTGAACCATGTGTCACCCATTTCCTAAACCATCGTGGGGGTGTGGCTGAAATCAGAGGGTCCAGTCTTGATTTGGAGACCTGATGGAGAGGGGCTCTAAAATAAAATCCCACAGTAGCTTTCTGAGGTATTTATGTTTAGCCTTCATGAAATGACTGTTTTAGATATTACGGATTATCCTAACTGAAGTACAATTCAGTTTTAGACATCACAATCATCCACTCTTGTGAGTCTTCATTATTGTGTGTAGAATATTCTGAAATTTATGTTGTAGAAAAAAAGACCGTGAACACATGTAGATCAAACAATAACACATAGATATAAATACACCGTAGCCAATCCTTTGACTTTGGTTTGTTCTAGAAGATTCTTGATGTAAAGTAGAAACACAGGGAAGATGGGCTCCTTTTGTTCTCATGTGTGATTGAGTCTAAATCTAAGAGAAGAAAGTAAATGAATAACCTTTATCTTAAATATTTCATACAAATGTTTAATCTGAAGTATAGCCGTTCTTGTTTTAATATAAGTATGTATTAAATCATTAGTTCATTTTTTACAAATCTTCAAATAAAATAAGGCCAATATGCATAAAGCTTGTCATGTCTGTGGGAAAGTATTGTCTCCTTAGAAGCAATTGGCTGAACTCAGTTCTTGATGCCTTGACTTTGATTTAGGGGGAATATCCAAGGAAATATTTTTAATAGTACTCTAGTACTTAATTCTCTTCTGAAAAGAGAAATTTAAAGTTTTCCCAGTTTAAAAACAACAACAACAACAACAGGAATCCAGCTTAACATCTCATTGGAGTAATTTGAAGTAATTTCAAGTCATACAAGGATATTTCATATAAATATTCAGTAGTGCTGTCATAGGACCCTGCCAGTCCCCAGCAGGTGGCAAGTGTAATAAAGTCCAGATGAAGAGATTCACTTCCAATCTCCTCTTTTAAGACTCCCCTTTCTTTGCCCCATGCTTCCTCCAACAGTTATTTTTGAAGGGGATTTTTTAAAGTCACTGTATTGAGGGAAAAAAGATTGCTTTATCTTATTTCTGCAGAGTGGTTTCCAGTTTTAAAAATCCTGTAGACAGGCTGAGTTTGCAGGCCCAGGTTCAGTGTCAGAGCCTTTTGCTCTGGGAGATGATCTTTGTGAGCCTGGCTAGCTCATTCCAGTGTGTGCCACACTGTTCCTGAATTTTGCAATTCTGGTAAGTATCTGGGTGTGTGTTTTAGGTGTGGCAGAGATGAGTCCAATGCACTGTAGGTGTGGGAAAAGAGCCAGAAAGGGAAATTCAGGGAGAGTCATACCCAGCCATGCAGATGACCTTCCATCCATACCACCTTACTGTGCTTTGCTTTCACCCTTAAGAATGTATTCTCCTTAGCTGTAAAAATAAATAGGAAAACTCCAAAGTGTGTACAGGTGTTTGTGTAAAGACAGCTCTCTCGGGTGAAGAAATGGAATCTTGTTGACTTAAAGGGTATAAGATTGTCTTATGAGAATGAGTCATCAAGCAATCATAATAGATGGTTGTATAATGGTTTGCCCAGCCAGTTTTTCCAGCACAAAGACTCACAATAATTAACCAGCTATTACCAGTTGTTTTTGATTATGTTGCTTTAAAGAAGAAATATTTAGATTTCAACCAAGATACATCATGTAAAGGTACAAGTTCCCAATGAGAAATGTAAATGTATTGTACACCTAAAAGGTACCAATAAAAGAATTTTTAAAAATGACTTGCAAAAGAAGAAATATTTAGATTTGAAATTGAAATCCAGAGTTTAATCACTAAAAGTAAATTGTTACGTGACACAAAGTCCCATATGCAAATCTTCTTTTCTTGGTTTATCCTTTCTATGAA